CCCTCCGCGCCAGATGGAATTGCAGGAAAAAATGTGGCAGTTATCTGGTGGCCACCATGTTATCTGAATTAGATTCCAATAGAGAATCATTGGGCCTTAATTGTTATAAAGTTCCACAGCAAAGTAAAGCAAAATGGAACAGCCGAAAAGCTGAAAAGGTCGATCATCGGCGCCCAGACGAATTTCGATCCTACTGTAATAGCTAATTTGGCTACCAGCATTTCAAAACGTATTATTGTGTTCCTTATGATTATTGGGGGGTCATCCCATTATTGAAAATTCGTGACGTTTTTTCGTTATAGTAAAATCTCTCGACAAGTGATGTGTAGTCATATTTGCGAAACGGTGAAAATACGTTCTAAGGAAGATATTTTAATAATTCTGAATCGAGATTTCTCCAGAAATCAAGTATCAAGGTTTTTCGTTATGGGGAAACTATTGGTAATAGCGGCATTTTCCAAAAATGCACAGCAACTTTGGAATAGCAAAAATTTAGGGTGGACCTATATTTATGAAACGCAGTGTATAAGCCCCTCTGGCTCCGTCCTGTGCTCTGTAATTCGTCAAGTTTTCAAAGATTTTCTCCTGAATTTATACGTGGAACTTAAAGGACGAATTCACGATGAAAAAGCAACCCATTTCAAATTAACCTAGGGATGGTGAGTGGTACACGAAAGAAGGAAGAACCATGAGAAACGGCCCAGAACCCGAGAAATGGGACCCCTTCCTTGCCCGTTGATTTGAGCATTGATGCGACTCATCGCTGTGCCCTCTTCAACACTACGCTCTCTCAGCTATCTAATCACTCGCCACGTATAGACCTGCGGCGAGTGATCAGATGATCGGTGGGCGTGCACTGGCCCACCGCGCCAAGATTGAGCCTTAATAGGTCGCCGAGGTCAACTCTTTCGGTGCCAATTGCGCTTCAGTCGCACCCTCAGGAGGTCCGCGGGTCCCTCAACTAGGTGAATTACTCCTTCTTCGACCTTCATTCTAATCGTGAATTCGTCCTTCAAGCGCAACAATTAGTCACCACAAATGAAGCATTCATCCCATGCATGGATTTTCCATCGATGTAGCGGTAAATGAAGCTACTGCCAAGGTTTCAGGTGTTCAGGCAACTTATGAGGCATACCTGGAATACATGAGGCAACGCGGCGAAACTGAGAAAAGGTAACAGGTCACCTTGTGATGAGGCATATATACTCAGTTCTGAAATATGATCTCCAGACTACCCGGCCTGGAGCAGTACACGCCACCTCAGCTGTTTTGGATGTTCTACGCGAACCATTGGTGTTCCAAGGAAGCTAAAGACGTTATTGCCATTCAGGTAATCAATGTAATTTTTCTCCGCGACGATCGCTGCCGTAGCGATTTCAGTTTCAGCTGATGGTAGACGAACATTCGCCATCTTCGTGTCGAGTCAATCAAGTGGTGCAGGATATCCCAGGTTTTGGCCAAAATTTCGGTTGCCAAATGACACAGAAAATGTTCCCCACTCCGGATGTCCGATGTAAAGTCTGGGTCATGACCTAAATGCTCCTCGTTGGAGAAAAGAAGATATCGTTTCAAGGAAATAAACCTTAGCTTTTGTTGGCAAGACATATTGTCGCGCTTACGTACCGACTGCCCAGGTCCGTTTTCGCGCAGAAAGGTTAGAGACACAGAACTTGTCTACGGCTGAACTGTGTGGAAGTAACTAGCCATATTATTCAACTTGCCGCGATCACTGCAATATCGCGCTGGTTCTTTGGGTCGTTCTATTGAGGCCGCCTGCGTCTCGCCTTTCCGCCGACCGGGCCTCCTTTCAGGAAACCCAATCGCCTCTTTGACGAGAATGGAACACAGAATTGGTAGGCTCTGACAAGCAAAAAGTGACAAAAGAACATATATTCACCAAATTTTAACAGACTGAATAATTAAAGCATGATGATATCATCAACAAAGACATAATAATGAATGGGTAGAAGGACGGCTTCGACCCAACTTGATTGAGGGTTACAATCATTGATAAATCACAGCAGTATCGGATTTGGTTTAATGGCCACGAACAAACACCAACGAGAGTTCCATAAATCGTCACCGGCTCAGATCTCAGATTTTTGGCAAAATGCCATTTTTTATTGATTTCAAAAAAGTCTTTTTCAAAATGTCCCTAGCACATCTATGAAGGTGAAAGGTTACTGTAGCGCTGGAAATGTCTTCCATAGGAAATCTACTAACTAGAAAAACTAGGGCTCATCCCAGGAACCACTTGAATGACAGTGCTCATTGATTATTACCGGTGACCCGATTCCAGGAATAATTCCGCGTTAAAGTCACACATCTAATTTAAAAGAGATTTTTCGTCTGGTAAACTAACCACCAGAAATGAAAGCTAAATGATATCTGAAAAGATCTCGCATAGTCTATAATAGAAATTATAAGAACATCAGTGCAGTAAGGAATGAATAGGACTGCTATTGAACGGCAGTTCCTCTTTAAATCGAGATCACAAAACTCTGACAAAAATTAGATGTCCGTAAAAATATGAGATCCAAGGATGTCTATGTCAAAGTTGAATTTCGCGACATCTTCTTTGAGCAGCCATCCACATGAGAATCGACGTTAAGCGATGCTTTACGAGAAGAACACGAAGTTCGTCTGAAAACGGAAGATTTCCGCAAGAGTAAAGATTGAGTGAGCGATTTGAAAACAAAATTACTGGCAAGCATACGAAAACACGTTTAAAAATTTCACTGCGCACAATGGTTACACATGAAAAAGAGAAAGGAGTAGGAAGGCTTACTTTTCGTATGAAACTAAACGAGCCTCAAGAAAACCTTTTTTTGAGGTTTTGTTTCCCACTGGAGAGGTATTTCACATGATAAAATAAAGGCATAAAGCATCTGCCGTTGATCAATCCCTTTTGGGATGCGGACACGCATTCTACTTCCATTTGTACATTCGTAGTGGCGTTTGAATGCGATGTGGCCTATACAATGACTTGCGGGCCAGCGCGAGTACAGTACCTCCCATAACTTTGTTAAAAAAGACGCGGAAGACGCGGATCCGCGTCTTTTTCGTCTTTTTGCTATAACTTGATTTCTGATCACTTTTCGACGTGAAAAACTATACCATTAGACTCAGCTCGTCGAGTTCTTCCCCCCCCAAAGTCTCCTTTTTTTTATCCTCCCAGACAGTCTGGTTCCCAATTACCGACCGCGCCCCAGGGCGATGGACGCCTTGTTGCCGGGCGAGTCAGAACCTACGGATCTGACCCGACCGCTTCGCAGCGATAGCGTAGCCACTTGCCACTAGACATTTCCCCCACTTCTATGATGCCCAAGCGATAACTGGCAAGTTCCCGTAGCAACATAATCAATCCGTTCGTGTGCTCGGAATGGGGATCATAAACCGCGAGGACACGGAGTTTCAGAAGAATTTCTCCTTCACCACAAACAAAGCTGGGAGAATTTGCATGTACTAGTGGCAGAGATGTGATTTGGGGTCCATTTTCGCTTGCAGCCCTGTGAAGGGTCAGCAATGGGATGAAAGATATGCATCCAGGGTTTCAACTCCTCATTGATGAATGACATTTTCGCATTTCAGTTGGACTTACGAAATTCCTCGCCATCAGTGCCCAACTCCACCAAGTACATAGGTGTCAATATTCATATATCAAGAAATGGATACTTTTCGCTGGAAGCTCCACACATCACGCCATCGCTTTGCTAAGTCACCCAGTCACCTGAGCAGATTTTTCCAATCCTTTTTTAGGCCTTCAGGGCCTGCTTTGCATAGTGCACCTCATTTTTAGAGTCCACGTAAAAACCCCTACAGCGTGCAGGAAACTCTTTTTAAAGCACCTCTGAATCCCTTCCTTGTAAGTTTTCAAATGCGCGAAGGGTGTATGACGCATATCAGCAAGCAAAGGAAATGGTCATGTGTTAGCTAGGTGCTTTTATAGGTGCCTTTCCGATTGCATACATGAGGGAAAGCCACCAAAAATTTCAATGACGTTCATAATGAATACATATCAATCGATATTCATTAAATATCAATCGATAAGGCGCTTGGTAGACTAGGTCGTGAATCTTAACCTTGAAGCGCGTTTAAGCATTAGAAGGCGATTTTGTCGAAACATTAGGCCAATTGAATAAACGTTCTACCTGTCAACCTCGAACGGCAGAAAAAACAAACACAAATAAGAACAAGGAATGGCGAGGTTTCAAGAAGAGAGAAGCTGGAGACTATCAGTCGATTGTTTACCTTTCAATGTTCTCAAAATACTGTGTATGTGCGTTAAACGAATGTTTCCGCCTGAACTGGCGGCGTGATTGCATCTCAAAACCGTCACGGAATAAATCCACAATAGCACAAATCAGGATTCGCCATGCACGACTGAAACACACGGCAATAACTAATCGCACACTTTCAAGTGTTCTCCTTGTTCAAAGTATAAATTTCTTCTGCTCACCTGGCTTCTTTACTCTGTCGGACTCCGTCCTGCTTCAATATCACTTCAACGAAGATTTCCTGGAACTTGTCCAATTCGGCGGTGCTAAGACCGTGCTCTTGTTTCAGGGAGAAATGCCGAGCGCCCATTTCGCGGATTTCTTCCAGATCCTGAAGTTAATCGATTCAACCACATCGTACAGCGTGATTAAAATAGCCCAATATTTATTTATTTCTTTTCCTTTGGTCAATAATTTTTTTATAAGATCAAAAATACGCAGATTGAAAAAATGTGCAATTTTTGTAAAGATGATAATCGTCACCGGCTCGAATCTCAGATTGTTGGCAAATTGCCACCTGTCGCAGGCAATGGAGAAATTTTTTTCAAATAACTGGAATGTGGAAAGACTGGTTTCGCAGGCAATGGAGAAATTTTTTTTAAATAACTGGAATGTGGAAAGACTGGTTTAGAAACGGTTGGGGTTTGAAAACCAAGTAGGAGAAGAAGCTCTTTCAAGTTTGGGACAGAAGTTCAGGAAGGACAAGCAGGCTTAGGTTCCCTCAAGGGTCTCTGGTTGATGCTAGCGCTTTGATTGGTGAAAATAGTGGTCGCTGTGTTAATAACGGGGCATCAAGGTGGCAATACACTTGAGACTACTGTAAGATCTCCTTTTGTTGAAAACAGGAGTAAGCTTCACACGGAGGAGGAGAAACTCAAGGATCCTTGAACAGTTTTCATTTTTCCCGAACTTACTGCCCACTTTTTACTGTTCTAAAGAATGTCCCCGTATCTTGCTATAGCGCCAAATATTGTATTCTTCTGAGCTTATGGTTGTTGTAGCTTGGGTTGCAAACTCTTTGCTTTAGAAAGCGATTCCTTGTTTATTGCTCTCGCTAAATTGTATTCCACCGATTCGCTAAAGAATTGAAAACAGCAGTTATTCTGCGATTTCAGCAAACTTTATGGTGGACCATCAAAGAATGTCAATTTTAATGCTGATTTCGTCTTTGTTTCTCCATACTTTTTACTTCTGCAATGAGACGTAATAGAGGATTTCTCTCGTGGAATAAAATTCATTAACACGTTGACGACAGCCCCTTGTGCGTGTACCTCGGCACTTTTTGTTTATTTTTTCACAATCGTCATAACTTCTTCAATAATTCCACTACTGGTAATTGATGCACAGTTTTCGGATAAGATAATGCATGCACACAGTTTTGAAATATGAAAAATGCCAAATAAATCGAAAAAACTAGCCAGAATCGGGTGAAATTCTGACGCGCATGCGCGTCATGCTGTCGTCAACGTGTTAAGGGACGGGCGGGACTTTTTTTTATAATATTTTCCTAAATGATTTTTTGAGAGAATTTCGAGTATTCCGATTCGCCCGCTTTGAAATTTTCGGCCATTTTCTGA